AGGTACTAAATTAGATTTGGCAAGCACAAGTGTCACTGTAACTGTTAACACAACGTCAATACTTTCTGTCACGGTCAGATCACCAGAGCCCGGTGAATGGTCATGCAACTGTAGTGATTCCAATTTTTGTGACGTGGAAGTGATATCACAGAGTACTATAGATTTCCAATACCAATTGATAACAGTAGATGAGACTACAGGACTTGCATACGACATAGATGGCAGTCCTATAGCTGGTAATGAAACTGATTTTTGCTACTATAAATTTGTTGCTTAAAAACGCGCGGATGTTGAAGCTGTAAGAAAATTAAGCATAATTGAGGCTCTCATGATTATTATTTTCTATTGTTTAAAACTAGGCTCGGGACGAAAAAAATGATATTATGTACAATTGATTTTATAAGACACTGGAGGTGTATTTAACAAAAAAAAAAAACAACTCACGAACGCTTAATAAAATACAGATTTCTTAATATTTAAAAACATGCTCCATTTTCTCACTGTCTTTAAATATTCAATAGGCCTGTTCGTTTTATTCTATATACAGAAACTCTCCTTACTTTTACAGTCCCCCAGTTTTTTTTTTAACAAACCTCCAGTGCTTTAGAAAATTAGTTGTGCAACATATTATAAAAAGTTTTACCCCCTAAGCCTGGTTTTAAAGAGCATTCTATTTTCTAAAGTTCTGTTCACACTATCAAATTATCTTTGACAAAAAACTGTTGTATGTCCATAAAATTATAGTCATTATATGCCTATATAATGGTCGTGATTTGATGACATCATGACCATATTAATTTAGGAATGTCACATGTTTTTGTTAAATAGGGTTTGATAGTCATCTCTTAATGTACCTCTTCCTCTTTTCTTCCATCATTCCCAATTTAATGAAAGAAAAAAGGCTATTTTTTAAGTTCATATAAAAACAAATAATTGTAAAAGACAGAGAAAAGAAATTTTCGCACTAAGCCACAAGGTTTTTGTGACATATTAAAAAAAGATTTGAAGCAGTAACTCAAAACATTTCATATGGGCCAGTAAGCTTGAATTTTGAAATTATTCAACATTAGAAGAACAAAAAAACCACAAAAACTGACAATTTCTAATTATGTACACAGGAACTGAGTTGGTTATTTATATAAAGGTATTTGGAGTAATAGACGTTTCTACAGTGGATCAGGCAGAACTAGTTAGTTCATCCGGTGTAGTAGTCAGATATATACGACTTTCGAAGGTAGAAAGCGAAACCGACGATACTTATTTTGGAAACTTTATTGTTCCAAGTGAGGTAAGCAATGGCAAAGAGTATATAATTGCAAGAGGTCCGACTGCCCTGATTTTGTATACACGCAATAAAACATAAAAGAATTACTACCATAAGACAGGGGCGCCCTGTCTGCAAAGGCCTTTCACTTTATTTTGAAGGACACCATCTAGTTCGTGATAGTACTTTTTTTTAGATACAATTTGCATTCTAACGAAACCCTGAGAATCGTACCTCTTGCAGTTCTTTGGTAATGGTGAAGTTTTTCCGTTTCGAAAGGAAAACAATTGTATGTTATACCCAAGTAATTCTGGTTATGGTGATATGATAATTCTGACAAATAATTGGGATAAGAATATAAATTTAATTTTTGTAGCGTAAGATTGATAATAGTAACGATGATGACAACAGGATACTAACAATACATACACAAACAAATTACAACAATAATAATATTAACTAGAAATTATGTTTAATAGAACATGTACTCAGTCAGATCATTCCTGGTAAATTCGGGCTCAATTCAGTGAATTCAGTTTTTATCCAATGGCTCTCAAACACTCTCCCCGGCTCGGGCATACGGCCTCGGATCGCGCTGCCCGCCAAGGATATTCTTAGCTCATCGCCCCCCATGTCGAACAGCTTGGCCCTCCAGAAAATATATCCTACAGCCGCTATTTGATCAGCAGAAGAATCAGCAGAAGGTACGAAAACAGAACAAAGTCTGAGTGCGGCTGACTGGTAACAATAACACTTGGAATAGTAACAATTATTGTTATGTATAACGCCTTTTAATTTTATAGGTTTTTTCGGTAAGTCTTCAAGCTAGCGATGAAGGTGGTAACATTATACGACGTCTACAGCCAACTACCGTAAGACCAGAAACGTTTCAGCTGGTGCATTTATCAAGTGATACAGGTAAATATGTGAATAGGTCCATTGTACAAAACGTAAAGAAACGTAAAGACCAAAAGAAAAATTAATTGAACATGATTATGTTTAAAATCCACAGAAGAATTGATTGCCGGATCATCTATCGTTACCAAATTCAGACTAATCAATACAGGACCACGAAAGCTGTTCAATATATCCGACTCCATTACTGGAGGAGGCACCTCTGTTTCCTCAAGTATAAGTCCGTCATCTGTTTATGCTTCAGCTTCAAGTGAAGGAAACATCACCTATACTTTGTATGCCTCATCAGCGGCTCAAATAGGAACTCCTATGTGAGTTACATTCACTCTAAGAAAAAATGGGTTTTTAAGGGGTTCTTCAGGTCCTGTATATGGAACACTTGTAGCACCATTAAAGGTTCGAAAAAGAAGCAAAATAAGCTCATTAAAGGTAATAATTTTAGGTTCGTTAAAGTGTTTTTAGAACTATTTACAGAACCCTTAAAAAAGAACCTTTTTACAACTAGGGTTCCATAGTACAGGACAGCCAAGAATCTCTGAAGAACCATTATTTCTAAGAGTGTAGATATATATGCCTACAAACGTAACTCAAATAACTTTATTTCATACATTATACCTACATATAGTTACAAACATACACACATTATATATACACACTACCACATCAGATATACTGTCGTGATTCGGAAGAAATGCGGAAGAAATTAAAACAAAAGACAATGAAGCATGACACATTTGATGTTCAGCATTGTATCCAGTTTTGTCAGTAGAATACATGCATTAGACTTCGGGTCTAATGAAAAATAACAAATTATAGTGATTTTCACCTGGGTTTAAATTTCATTTATATGTCCAAATCACGTTAAACAAAACAAATAGAAGCCATTTTTGTTAATTATTTACCAACACTATTGCATAACATATCATTTCATAGAAGCATCTTTGCAGCACGAAAAGTAGCATAATCAACTTGTTTACCCCAACTTAAATTACAAGTCAAAAATACCAAGATGTTTATGGAAAGGAACTGAATCAAGAGTGGAATCATTGATGTAGTAATTTGTAGCAAACTTTTTATTTGATCTAGTGATGTGCATGACTTTACATTTGTTAAAGTTTAATTGCATATAGTTATTAGTGCACCAAGTTGAGATATTATTTAAACCAGAATGAAGGATGCGGGAGTCTTCTGCATTGCGGTTGGGACGAAAAAGAACAGTATCGTCAGCTTACTGGGGCAGGGATGAAAGTACGTATGAAGGCAGATCGGCAACAAAAAGACTAAAGAGAATAGGCCCGAGGACAGATCCTTGAGGGACTCAGGCAGGCATCCACGCAGAGTGTGTGCCCATAAACTGGACTTTCTGGGATCTACCTAGCAGCAGTGATGTTAACCAGGAGAGAGCCTGCCCCTGAATGTCAACACGATTCAGTTTAAGAAGCAAATGTCCAATCAAGAACAATTGCATCGAGTTAAGAGTAGTTAAAAAACATTGGCTCTGTAAATGTGTTTTATCACAACGTGTATATGTATAACGACTATAATATAGTCATATTATGTGTCTCGGTATGCATTTGATATAGGAAATAGAAGTTTTACATTGGCTTTTCTGTATTGTGTTATAAGAACTGTTACAGTGAGAGCCGAGGACACTTCCACTGGATCATTTAACTATGTTGTATTCTCGACATCTGTTGATGGTGCATCGACGCTGGTGAGTCAATTTGTGTATTACCAAACATGGCTTCCCAGATGAATATTTTATCACATATTTTAATACATCATACATACACACACGCACGCACA